CTTACACAGTTATCTTGTTGTATTTGATAAGGTTATTCATCTTTGTTCAGAAGAATATTGTCGAAACGGCAAGACATTCCGGAGACCACCATCTACATTTATTATTATATTTATTATTGGAACTTGTTCACTTTTTCTACATTGTATAATTATGATTTTTCAATGAAATATTGTTTAGCCTTAATATGTCACAGTTTTTTTTCTGGTTTCTTTGGTCCCCTACAACGTGCCCTAGAATCTGATGCAGCAGACAGGGTGCTATGGTAAATAAGTCGAAAGCTGGCATACATCTGCAGCAGAGAATCTTAACTTTTTTTGGGGGGGGGGGAAGCAGGGTCAAGCCTGTCTTCAGAGTCCCCTTCCTGAACCCCACCCAAAAGGTGTGAAAACTTATCAGCATATCCTGTAATATGTTCTGCCCTCCTTGCCCACAATCAGGAAACAGGAGCTCCACATTAGAGCATATTTGTGGCAGTCCATTGACAACCCAGCAGAACAAACGTACGGTATAACAGTGATGTTAGAGCTCTGAATCCTGCTCTCCCAATTATTCCCGTGCACAGATAATTCATATCATGATCTTTGCCACAATGAACAACTTCTGACTCTGCTTGATTTCCAGCATCCTGAAGATGAGTGGGCTAATTAACATCCTGTGTCTTTTGTTCAACCAGTTATGTGCCACTCAAAAATGATTCAGCGACTCTTTAATTTGAATAGCCCAGAGTTTTTAAATGTGTTGTTTAACTTGGGGTGCACCAACAACTTACTTAGATTTTTACTGACTTTTCCTATACCTCCCAAGTCAGTATAGCCCATTTTGTAAAAACGCTGCTGTGTTGCTTTCTTCCTCCTGTTACTGCTTCCTCCCAGCTAAATTCCCATTGCAAGAGAACAGTTTGTGCCCATGATGTTTTGGAGGAATGAAAATTTAATCCTTGTCATCTCCCTGCTCCCAAATATTAAACTATTTCTAAGTTTGGTAACAGGGACAAATAACATCTAAAGGTTCTTCTGTTACATTGGTTTCCAGGGGTGGATCGGGAGGCAAAAGCATCCCTGGAAAGGGCTCAGCCCACCCCCCAGTGGAGAGAGGAAGGAAGAGCCAGCCACCCACTTTGTGCAGGGTGAGAGCTGTGGGCACTGCCCACTTGCAGCAGTGGCTCCTTCCTGTCTCACACAGAGCCAGGGTGATGGCCCCCGCCCTAGCCCTTTTCCCATGGTTTTGTGGCTACCCCTCCACTGAGGGTCTCCCAGAGTGAGGAAGAAGCTACACATTACATTGAAGATCCATTATCAGCTGTCTTAATGTAAGAAAGCAACCTGGGGGGTGGGGGTAGAGGGTATTGATCAGAGCCACGATGCTAGGGGAGTTAATGCTTACACACACACCATTCCCCAAATGAAAACCCACTTTCCTCCCACCTTGCTAAAAGCTCCAATAAGGGGGAACGGGAATGGAGATACAGGTACCCTCTGTTTTTCTGTTCCCTACCAAAGCCAGCAGCAATCTAATGACCCAGTTGCTAGCATGGAAACGGCATGGAGGGAAAAACCTAACTGTGCCAATCAAAGCTATGTCCAGCCTCCACGAGGCTCTTGCCAGCCAATCACTACTCAGCAGTGAACCAGCTGTTCGGGAGGATGGGGAGAATAGATGAGGGAAGCCAACAGTTTGTCAGAATCGGACCTTTGCCCGGGTCATTGGGCCGCCATCATCTTTGTAACTGTGGCTCTCTGATGTACATAGCTATGCTCTTACTGCTTTGCTCACTGTCCCCCTCCCCGCTTGTAGTTCCCAAGTTCCCGTTTAGCACCTGCTGGCCCAAGTTCCCATTTAGCACCTGCTGGCATTGTATCAATCTGTCTGCAAGGTCCTCCTCTGACATTCTTGCGGGAAGGGCGATTGAGACATGTCTGTGTGACCCTTAGATTAGCTGCGCCTGAAACTCTGTGAAAGGAAACATCCTCCGCATAGGTCAGAGAGAACTTTCGCTATTTCTTGTTCTCATGGCCTTCGAGAGAGACTCAAAAGATAACATTCTCACCGTCTTAATTGAACTGTATTAACCTGTCTATGCACTATGTAATCATGACGTATGAATGAGGGCTGGACCAGAGGTCTCGTAGTTCCCCGCTTTGTAATATTCCTCAGTTCTGTCAATCTGTCAGCCTCACAAGAATTCTCAGACGCAATGTCCTTTTACAAGCTTTATTGTGAAATCAGGAAAGTTGCTGTAAAGTCAAACTCTTGACTGTACAGCAACTTTCCTGATTTCACAATAAAGGCATAAGCCACGTCTCAGACAGTGTCTAACCCACTAATCACAATACACCAGATTCAAGGAACCCTCAGATGTGCTGACTGTTAAACATGCAAAAAAAAAAAAATCTGCCCTCTTATCACACTACCACTTTTTCTATAAATACGGCTCCTTAATAAAATAGAAAGGATATGGAAATTATGCTGGCATTTTAGCCCTTTCCCCCACTCCCATCCTCTTCTTCACAGCTTGAGCCATATCTGCAGCTGCTTTGTAAGGCTACACTACCCCTCAGGATATCTGCTCTCAGATCTCCAGTGTCACCTGTAGTTTATTTATTATTTATTTATTAGTTTAGCTCTGAGACACTTGTCCTCCGGAAATGCATTGTGGGAAGATTGCAGTTATGTGGTCTAAAGCAGTAATGCCAGTGAGATGTAGGTAAGGCAGGCAGTGACAAAATACGAACAGGTGAGGGGAGACCAGAGTAAGCCTTAGCTGGGTATGGTGGCTATACTGCAAGGTGTATATAGAGGAATGGAGTGTATGGTACGATAGGGAGAGGAGTAGTGTGACTGGTGACTGTAGTTGTTAGCAGGGACAGTGTCAGCACCATACCTGGAGGTGGGGCAGCTGCCAGGGCCCTGGGTTTCTGGGACGGCCCACTGTCACTGAGCGCCCCCCTCCCCACATGCAGGAGAAATGGCACTCCTGGTGGGCACAGTGGTGGTATTCCCTTCTGCAAACACAGCACCCAGTGCTGCTGGAGAAAGGTCAGTGGGAAGGCTTAGGAACAGGTGGAACGACATATGGGGATAGGGGTGGGCTGGAAGGAAGGCATGAGCAGGGGTCCTGGAGGTGGTCGGGGAAGGAGAGGGGGCCCCCGGGTACTCTCTGCCTGGGCCCCCAGCATACCTGGAACCAGCCCTGGTTGTTAGTATAGAAGTGACACAAGGGGTGTGCAGGCATATCCAGTGACATTTCTAGAACGGGAATTGGAGGTGTAAAATCTAGGGGCAGCACATGGGCCCATCAAGTTTGAGAAGCACCAACACAGACAAGAGGGGGAACAGATATCGCACGCAGAACACTTACTTGCTGTACAAATAAAACTGTCCAGCAGTTTTGCTGGCTGCATTCCTGGGTGCACTTACTAGGCAGTAAGTCCCATGGAACACAGTGGGATTTTATTCTAAGTATACGTGTTTAGGATTATGTTATGAGGCTAGATAATTTCCTGTGGATCTTTGTGATTTCCACAAGGGGGTAAGGAATGATTCAGCTCCAGTCCTCAAAGCTGGACAGGACACCTGAAGGAGTACAGTAATTAATTTGCTGCTTCTCCTAAATGAGGGCAAGGAATAATGTTGGTGTCTTCAAACTTAACTTTGAAAAGACTTCTGTATCTTTCCAAGCGATTACATTGCTCTGATTTACAGAAAATTGCAAGGTGCAAAAATCTGGCATTACATTCAATACTTAGTAATGGCTGTCTCTCTTTGTATGTAAGTAGATAGATAGTTTAAACTAATTAGTGTTGCTTAAAAATATTTCTTTATAGAACTAAGGACTGTTGCAATTGCATATGTATGCTGAGTAGTGTATACAAAAATAGTTAATAGTAAGCAGGAAAGTTTGTAAATTTAAAAAGAATCAGGATTTTTCAATTACCCTTTCTTCTAGTCTAGGGGTGTCAAACATGCGGCCTTCTATCAGGCCCTCAGTGGAACTGGCTGTCTTCTGCTTCTTCTTCCAGTTCTGCTGCTGCTGTGTCATTGTAGGTTTGCAGCCTACAGATACACACCTGAACAGCATACTCAAGATTGCAACAGCACAGACATTTTGATGCAATAATTCAGACCAAGAGGTGTCAGTTATCAGACACTGTTAAGTAAACAAAATATTGCAAGAGTGCTAATGTTTTAAGCATGATTTTAAGAAGAAAACTTTTGTGTTTGTGGCCTTTATAAAGTTTATATCTCCGCTACCTGGCATTACATTTTATGACACAGATGGCCTGGCCAAGGTCTCATTTATGTCAGATCTGGCCCTCATAACAAATGAGTTCGACACCCCTGTTCTAGTAATCTGAACACCCCTACATTATACCTTTTCTAAGGTCATGTTCTTGGAGATCTCTAGAAAAGATAGAGTACCACTGTCATAATGCAGCAGCACTGAGTAAAATGAAGTGCAATTCTCTGGGGATTCTGTTTCTGCTGAAGCACAGACTTGCCTACTGGATTCCTAGAGCTACTGTTTGTCCCTTCTGGGTAGTTCTAGGAATCACCAGGAACTCCATGGTAAGAACTTCCTGTAAGTATATGAGGCCTTGTTTTCTTTTTTAAATTTTTCTCCTGGGATGCTCCCTGCTGGTTTGACAGGCACTGCCTGGGAACCCTAGACTCACCTGGGGACAATTATACACACACCACAGGTGATCCAGCAAATGCTAACTACAAACCTATCCTTGATTATGTCAGGTCTCATTTTTAATAGGTTTTATGAAGCTCTATGCCTTTAATAGGACCTGTTTTTATGAACTTGGGATGTAACAGAATCACTTAGAGGAAGATCCTTCCATAAGGCAATCTATATGTAACAGACACTTAGGCAGCCTTTTCTGGAAAAGATTTAAGGAGGAGATTTTGCTACATTTCTAGATAGCTTTTCCACCAAGGATAATTGTTTACAGCTAGAAATGTTCCTAATTCAGGGTGTACCTCTTAATTACAGGATTATAAGAGACCATGGACTCATCAATCTCAGAAAGTTTCAGAGTGAGTACCACAATAGTCAGACTTAATTGCTGTGCTGTCCAGCTCAAATTAGTCTTTAAAAGGCGCTACTTGGTTCATACTTTGAATACCTCAGTGCCATTTGTTGCTTGCGAAATTATCCAAGGGGCCAACCAAAGAGACATTTAAATTAGAACACTGCAAAGCACCGTGTTGGTTCTATTGCAGCTGACATAAGCGTGCATATTCACATACCATAGCCATTTGTGTCTCTTTATACCTTGTTAGGATTGTGATTTCAGCAGACACCAGACCCGTTGCCTTCTTCCCTATCAGGCCTGGGATTCTACTCACTAGAAAAGTTTAGATGGTATATTCAGTGGTTGTCTTAGTGATTCTGAGGCCCTAGGCAAATATCCAGGATGGAGCCCCAGAATCACTGTACCCCCTGACCGGGACCCAAGCAGGAGGGCTGCCAAAGACACAGAAACATGCAGCCGCCACCACGCAAGCTGCCTGAGCCCTGGAGGAGTGGGTACATACGGTGGTGGGAGCCTGCTCTCCTTGTTCTCTCCTCTTCCATCTAGAGGGCAGTGCAATGGTGGTAGGGGGTCTGGCCCTGCCCAGCCCAGGGGGCACATGTGACAAGACCCACCCCCTGCTCCCAGCAGCCCTCAGTTGGGCCACAAGGTGCAAGAAGCAGCCAGGTAAGTTGCAGAGCCCCCACCCCACCCCGGCCCATCTTCAGATACAAGCTGTCCCCCTGTGAAGGCAGATCTGCACATTCCCCCCCCCCATAGCTAGCAATCCAAAACTGTCCAGTGGCAGCTTTAAGACCAAGTTTCATTTAGGTACAAGCTCTCCCTCCTCTG